TTTTTTGATGGGCTGAGGCCTAAGTAAGAATAATGCAAGTTGACACGACCAGGCCAAATCCAAGATGATGGGCTTCAACAAAAACAGGCTCAAACAAATAGATCAAGGCCCACAAAAGAAATCCAATTATATAAATATTCCAAAATTCTTCACCATAATTAGAATGTCGCAAAATATTATTTACAAAAAAACAATTATTTAATACTCCTAATTTCATCATAAATTAGTAGTAATCAATTCATGATAATTAGTAAAAATAAAAAAATTATAAGAGTAAAATTTTAACAGCAAAATCCACGTACACGAGAAAGCTATTTTCTCACACACGAACACGTGCTAATGACATCACCGGCCACGCGTATTGGCACCTCATTGGTCGTTTCCCTTCCGGCGAACATCCTATTGGATCGTGTACCACACTCCATCTTCACGCGCGTGGTTTAAAATTTAACGAGTTTAGAAAGCAAGGAAACAGCTAGCTATATATTCGAAGGCACAGGAGATAGAAACAACGGGAAGACAAAAAATCACCGCTTCGTTCAATTTGTTCTCATATATGCACATCACCTGTGTGTATATGTATAGAATTATAGATACACATTTTATATACACATAGATACATTTCGATTCCAGCTGGTCGAGAGGCACTGTTGATTTTGGTTGAATTTGCACCTGTTTTCACATTTTGGGGGTATATAACTTTTATAATCGCAGAAAAAATCGCGCTAGGGTTTCTCTTTTTGCTTGTTCGATTGATTAATCAAAGAGAAATTAGAAGGAAACGAAATGGCACAAGCGGTGGAAGAATGGTACAAGCAGATGCCGATCATTACGCGTTCATACCTCACGGCCGCCATCGTCACGACCATCGGCTGCTCTCTGGATGTAATACTTCACCGCTCAGTTAAATTGTTTGTGTGTGTGTGTGTGTGTAAAATACAGTTGAATTTTATAATTCAATCGCCTATATGATTATATGAGTTAGATATAGCTTTGTGTTTTTAGAGAGGGGTTCGTGGATTTCTGTTTTCGTGGTTGTTTTTTGGAGTCCAAAGCTAAATGATTTTTTTTAAAGCTGAATTATTGGATATACTGAATTACTTTTGGTGCTTCATGTTATCATTAATGGTGTTGAAGACATTTCAATTGTTCGGGTATGGAACTGAATAGAAATAGAGTTGTGATTTTATTGAAGTCTGACTGGAATTCCTTTTTCTGTGGCTATTTTCAGATAATTTCTCCATATGATTTGTACTTGAATCCGAAGCTTGTGGTGGATCATTACCAAATTTGGCGCATCATTACCAATTTTCTGTATTTCCGCAAGATGGGTAAACTATCTATCTATCCTCCAAATGGTGTTGCTTACGTTGATTGTTAGGTTTTGATCTTTTAATGAATGTATGCTGTTTGTTATTGGGGATTATAATCTAATCTGGTTCGAGTGGTTAGATGATTTAGTTATACGCTCACTTAATTTCTTGTGCATGTTGGGTCTAGGAGGTCAATTGATTTTTACGTCCTTCATATAACGACATATTTGAAAGCACATGTGGTAAAATGAAAGAGGAATGTTGACAAAGCTGATTAATGTTATTCTTGTATGGGAAATAAAATATGGTTTGATGTCTTGCACGTGTTTATTGTTTACGTCCATTGACTTAACAAGAAATTTTGTTATAGTTCTGCATATATTAGGGCTTTTATGGTACGATGGGCCTTGTTTGGTAAGACTTCCAACTTGAATGGAAGATGATCCATTTTCGAGAATATTTGCCTTCTAGTTATAGTGTTACACGTGTTAAACACGCATCCTTTTTTTCTACATAGCGTAGTTGCAGACGCGCAAAGAGAGCGCGTGCATACACAAAATTGTAGCTATTGATAATACAGTGCATTTAATTAGTTACTCCTTTGTCGCTATGTGTATTTCCTTAGCTCTGTGCTCAGTTGTTGTGCTGGTAATTTTGTATTCAGATTACTGAAACGATAATTTGTTTGATAAATTTAGAGCAAAATAGTCTATATGAGATGATAATTTTAATGGATCTTGTAGATCACTCCTTTAACTTACCACTGCTTAATTTTTTTCTTTACAGATTTGGACTTTTTGTTTCACATGTTCTTTCTTGCTCGATACTGCAAGCTTCTTGAAGAGAACTCCTTCCGTGGAAGGACCGCAGATTTCTTCTACATGCTGTTGTTTGGTGCGACTGTTTTGACTGGCATAGTACTTATCGGGGGGATGATTCCTTATGTCTCAGAGTCATTTGCGAAGATTATATTTCTTAGCAATTCCCTTACATTTATGATGGTTAGTTTTCCTGCAATTACTATGATTTGTGATTAAAGGATCTTTCAATAAAGCTGTTTGACATTCATCCCGCAATTTTGTTTCTTCTCTTATTGTATTAGGTATATGTGTGGAGCAAGCAGAACCCGTACATTCACATGAGCTTTTTGGGCCTTTTCACTTTCACAGCTGCCTACTTGCCATGGGTAAGTGATTTAATATCCGTCAGCTATCTGTTCAAGTGCTGCCATATTCTCCTTTTCCTTTTATACTATTTTCATTGCGTACTATTTTATAAAAAAATGTAAATAAGTTGCTGCACTTTTTTTTTTTTTTTTTTTTTTCTTTTTCTGTTTGATCATTTTCTTCACATATGTTGAAATTTTGAGAGGGTCTAATTATATGATGCTATATGTATCTAATACATGATTACTTAGATGCCCTCACAAAGTATGATAACTAATGATGGAGAATAACCTTTATGATGATGAAATATATTTCTTAAGTATCTACTTCTTAAGATCCCTGTATATCTGACTCTTACAATGAGCTGTCTTGTAAGAATGAAAAAAGAACAATCGGAAGCAAGATATAATCTCGTCATTATTCGGCATGCTTTAGAACTATTTACAGTTTTTGCTCATTTACTTGCATCTGGTGTTGATACTTGACATATTCAATTGTTTTCTTTGTACAGGTTCTTCTTGGGTTTTCTGTCCTTGTTGGTGCCAGTGCTTGGGTGGATCTTTTGGTATGTCCTCACTATTGCACTTAATTTTCTCTTAAACTGGAAACTTCTCGTCACTTTAGTGTTTTTTTTGGGGGGGGGAATTATGAATGAGTTATTTATTTTTCTAAATGTCATTCTCCGAGCATTCCGGGCATTTATCAATGTCCGAGGTATTAGAATTTTCATCTGGGTTGCTAATGGTATAGCTGTGGCTGAAAGCCTCGATAGTTTGTACATATAGTTATCACATTTCATATGGCTTGCCTAGGGTGTTCATGTGCGTACGACTCTATTTATGATTATTCCTTTTCCTCACAATTATATCTGTTATTGGAAGATATTTCCGATACTTAAAAAACGAAGGATTGACTTTGTATCAGGGAATGATAGCTGGTCATGCCTACTATTTTCTTGAAGACGTGTATCCGAGAATGACAGCTCGCCGACCCCTGAGGACTCCAGCTTTCATCAAAGCATTATTTGCAGATGATCCTGTGGTGGCGGCTAGGCCTGATGATGTCAGATTTGCTGCTCCACAAGGCGGCCCTTTTCAAATGAATTAATTGGGTTGCGAGGTGTTTTGAGCTAGTGAATATTATTTGCATTTTATCTTTCACCTTTAGTTGTCCAGTTTTAAGCCCTGACTGTATAAAGATGCACCCCTACATGTTAACTCTGTTGCAGTATACTCTCTGCTTTTGCTACAATGATGTTTTTTTTCAGGCGACAGAATTACCATTATGGCAGAAATGTAACTTCTTATGGGATATTTTCGTAGTTCTTCCCTAAATTTCTTCGTCTTCTGTGGCTATATTAACATATAATTAAATAGCTCTCCCGATGAGATATCATACCAGTAATTAGATTGCCGATGGGAGAAGTCTGAAATTCCCGTTAATAAGATTTGTCCGTATGAATTGGACTTGGATTAGGTGCATGCTGTAAGATGGATATTTAGATGGACAATAGCACTCAGAACTCGACGATTTAGTACGAGGAAAGTAATTTGCAACATTACAATTACGAGAAGCAAAAAACGTTAAACTGCAAAATGTGACAAAATGGCGAACTTTTTCCATGTCACAGTCTAAAAAATAGTTTTATTGTTATCCTCAGCTTAAGATCAGCACAAGAAACAACCCAGAACAATAATAAATCTGGACTTTGTTTTCTAGGCTCTGGTTTGATCTTGTAAGACCACCAGATACGAAGCTTGAACCAGAGGAACCCTTCAAGCAAAGCCACCTAATTGTACGACTACTGCACCATTCCGTTGACTAGCGGATTGGATGGTACTGTGCTGATATTCTTTTGGGAGGTAACTTCCGCAAAATGTACAAGACAAGAACTGAAGGAAGAATCTCGACCAGCTGTTTTTGTTTTTTTTTTTAAATGAAATATGAATCAGAATACGAGAAATACTCTTACTTGGGGGGAGTTGGCACAGTGACTAAAGAAGGAATACGATACCGTGTAGTAGATTAAGTTCAAGATTGGATGGTTCAATACGTCAAGTGTTGCATCTGAATCAAATGCTGACAGCACAACCTGCAGTAAAGGGGGAAATAAACACTTAACTTTTCCAAATTCGTACTTGGTCTTTTTCAATTTCTTGTCTGTAAATCTCGACCTAATGTTATCAGAAAAGGAAACTTAATCTTACCACGAAGCAGCTTACTAGAAAGCAAGTGAAGCATATAGCCGTTACGGATCCAACCTGTTAACAAACTATGGTCAGTTTCGGGAATCACAAAAGATACAACAAGGAATGAGAGGAGAAGCTACATATTTCACCCTACAAAGTGAGTTTAAGAATAAATTTATTTCAGAAAAAATGTTGCCATCGCCACTTCAACCATTGTTATTCTAAAGGGCTATCCAGATTTTAATTAATCTATTCAACACTTCTCGGAGATGGATAATTTGCTATGTGTTGAGTTCTGAAAGTGGATGATGACAAATCAAAGTTGGTGCCTGGGACAAAGTCGGAACTATAATTACTACTGCTTAAGAAGTTTAAATCCATCGCTACACAGCAGGAATCAGAATACCTTGTCACAGAAGTTTAAAATTTAAATCAATTTTAGATAAATAGGCACAAACCTCATGGAGTTTCTTTCTCCTTCCTTTAGATTCAATAGGGAAGCGTTTGAGCATGAAAAATAACCTACACAAAGTAAAATGACAAAATTGACACACATAACAGTGAAGAAATCCAAACTTAAGACTCCGAGATATTAATTCTGGCAAGAAAGGAGAACAACAAACAAGAAAATTTTCAACATTCACCTTCCTCCATATAGCAAAAACCCTAATGCAGCTATAAGTGATACCACTGCAGAACATAAAGAGATAATCAAGATCAGATAAGTAGAATATCCACATCTCAAGCAAACTAAGAAACGCGAAGCCTCAAATTTTGCACAAATATTTATTCGAGACTGAACAAAAGAACTATGGTGGGGTCAGAATAACCTGCAATAAATATCTTCCCGATGAATTCCACAGTGCTGTTATCATCTATCCAGAGGTATACCCAAATACAGCCCTGATATCAACACCTCTTTCTTGTCAGACTAAACGAATCAAATGGAAGATTTGCTCGATCAATCCAACAATTTGAAACATTTTACCTTTATAAATATCAGGACATGTTTGCAAACCTTACAATTCAAATTATCTTTATCTTACCTGACATTCTACACCCTTGGCAGACATTATGCAGTGTAGGCATGGATTAACTTAGACCAACAAAATTAGTTAACTCATGCAGTCTATGATCTCAGAAAGAAACAAAATCGAAGTTATTGGAAGCTAAGTTTTTCATTGTGCATTAATTGGATCTCTGTAAAATCTTTAGGATCTTTTCATGTCTATTTTTCTAGTTAATTAAGTTTATCAGTTTTTTTACCTTTTGAAGTACACGCAGATAGGCAAATCTGATTTTGACATGATCACGGGAAGTTTCTAATCTTTCAAACCAAAGTTGGGTAGCAAGGCACTTGGTCACTGATTTTTTTCTTTCTTATTACATAACTTAATGTTAGTTATTCTACATATACGAGAATTCCTTACTTTTTTGTTAAAAAGCAAGATTCAACATATAGGGTATCCTAATTCTGCCAGCTATAAAACTACGGTATGTCAGCTGAAAGGAGAAAAATAATGCCCACATATCAAGTAGAGAACCAAACAGGTATTTTGTCTAGAGATTGGATGTGCAGTGCACCTGTATGAAGTAAATTGCACCGTTGATGGCAATGTAGAAAATCTTCAGTTTATCTGCTGGCAAACTTTTAGCCTGAACAGGACAAAGATGAAACAAACTGTCAGTGATTATAATGTGACATAACTGCATTCACAATTCACAAGCATCTTAATTTCAGCACCACTCCAATCAGGAAAAGTAAACGCAATGTTCGAGTACTTTAAAACATTCTACACTGGCTCCTTCTCTGCATTGAAGTCCCAGAGACTTGGCTTTTCCGACAATTCTATCGTATTTTTACTTCGAGAATCGATTTAATGGTGTAGTCATTACACTCCAAAATATTTCAAAATAAAGCCAAATCTCCTCACATGCTCCTATATATTTCCCCGAAAAACTAAAACAATCTATAATAAAACGTAGCGTTCCTAACTTTCTTTAGCCACAACCTTTAACTGTATAAATTTTAACTTGAACTTTCTAGTCATACCTGATGGTAAATCTCTGCCCAAAAAAGGACAAGAAGCGAATATGTGGAAAAGAAGAGCAGGCCAGGAAAATCCAACAGTATCAAAGTCAAAGCCTGATTAGAAGTAAACAACATATATTAGATGATCAGAATAAGCATGAAAATGTATAATTATTAATGACATCTACAAGCATTTCCAATGAAATTCATCTAACTCGTAACATAATTAAAAAAAAAAAAAAAAAAAACTTCTATATGAAAGAACTATGCTAAAAAATCAGAAAATATCGTTTCAATTAGCAAAGGGCCTCCATATGCTGGCCTTGGAAGATAACTAAGTAACTTGACTAGCTGACACCTTTCAACGGAATCAAACATTCTCTAAGAAAGTGGTAAAACGACTGTTCTTGATGAGCGATGCCGTAAAATTTTCTGTTAATTCAATACTACTCTCTTTAAAGGTTCCTAATTGAAAGGAGCTATATATCTAAAAACCTGGGGGGGGGTGGACACTTCAAGCAGACTGATAAGCATTATAATTGCATAGGGGCCATAAATCCGAAGGCGAAGCGAATCTTACCTTGGGATGCAAGAGAAACACGTGATAATGAAATCCAAACAGAAGAGCACGAACTGCAACGAGTAGTTTAATGATTAATCCAATGAATAGAAATTATATTAAAAAAGAAAAAAGTTTAATTGAGTGGTTACTCTTCATACCTCCATTCACAATGAAGTTCATGAGGTGGAAGACTTTTTGGGTGGTCCAACCAAACTCAGGCACCCTTAGTTCAATCCTAATCAACTGTATCTGCAAAAGATAAAACGTAACCCCATTATAGGGATTTCTATTTCACACACAAAAAGAAAAAAAAAAAAAAAAAAAAAAAAAGAGCAACGCGTATAAGCAGTAAGGAAATAGGAATGAATACACAATTGACTAACAAGGGCGACGGTGGAGACGAGGGCGTAGGCGGCGCAGAGCGAGAAGAATATTCCGTCCTGCCATTTGTCGGACTCGTCGATCTCGTCCCACCAGCTGGCCCGCAGTCCTCCGGCGTCGATGATGGCCGGAAAGCTGAGCAGCGTCCTCGTCATTTTGCACAGAAGCTCTCTCTCTCTCTCTGTTTCTCTCTCCTCTTCTCCTTGCTCACGTGGTTGAACTGAATAGGTCAAAATCGATTAGCTGGTTGTGTGCCTGTACTTTGTGTGTAATATATTATATATATATTTTCCAATCAGAGGAAGAGATCAAATCGGAGAGGTCTAATTTCTTACAGGAGAAAATAGAAAAAGGAAAACAGAAAGAAAGGTGTGAGATTTTCAAACGAAACATTTGTGAAAGGACAACTTTACCCTCGTTGTTAGCTGGAAAAACTTGAAAGGTCAAAGAAGTTATTTAACTGGTGGTTGAAATATTGTAATATGGTTACCATTTGACAAACTGTAAATCAAATATAAGGATTTGTGCTCTTAAATTTAAATAAAACTACCAGGATTTTATGATATTTAATTTTGCTTTTTAACTTTAATAAGTGATCAAAATTGCATTCATATCAGAATAAGATCAATAGAACTAATGTTAACGAAGAGAAATATCACCATCGGGATCCGTGGCGCAATGGTAGCGCGTCTGACTCCAGATCAGAAGGTTGCGTGTTCGATTCACGTCGGGTTCAAACCCCCCGATACATACGGATCATTTTTTATTTCTCGGCCCATCCTTTATATTTATATTTATTTCTCGGCCCACCCTTTATATATGTATATATTATTTTTTTCGGCCCATCTTTTATATTTTTATTATATTTGTCGGGCCATCCTTTATATTTTTATTCTTTTTTATCGGCCCACCCTTAATTTTCTTTGAAATGCGCAGTCAAGAACCAGGTTCATTTTTCATTTGTGCTTTCCTCAATTCGAGAACGATGCAACGATCAATGGCGTTGCGCAGCAAACTCCGATCACTGGTACTCCACCGGAATCGCCTTTTCTGCACCTCTGTAGTGAGCACAGACTCCAAAAGCACAGAGAAAACCCGGGCCGTACTCTTCCGCCTCCGCTTCGAGCAAAACCCCGACCGCATCCTCGACATCTGCCGGTCCGCCGCCCTCACCCCGGAGTTTCACCTGGACCGGATCGCCTACTCGAAAATCGTCTCAAAGCTAAGAGAATCTAACTACCCCGGGATAGGGGACTTCATCAAGGAGTCCATGGATCAAATCGCCTGCAAATCCGAACGCGTCCTCGCTCACTTCATCGTCCTCTACGGCCACGCGCGCCTCGCCAAGGACGCCGTCAACCTGTTCGACGAAATGCCAGCCCTAGGCGTCGATCGAGACGTGAAGACTCTGAACTCCCTGCTCTTCGCCTGCGACCTGGCCGGAGAATACAGCGAGATGAGGAGGGTATTTCTGGAATTCCCTCGAAAGTACCAGCTGGAACCGAATCTGGACACGTACAACATCGCCCTAAAGGGGTTGTGCGCCTCCGGCAGCGCGAACGAGGCCCACTCCTTACTTGCCGAAATGGAGAGGAAAAGCATAAGGCCTAACGCCACGACATTCGCAACCGTGATTGCGGGGTTCTACAAGGAGGAGAACTTCGAGAGCGTGGGCAAGATAATGGAGTTGATGAAGAAATACGGCATACCGCCGGGTATTTCTATCTACAACGTGAGAATTCAGAGCTTGTGCAAGCTCAAAAGATCGTCCGAGGCGAAGGCGTTATTGGACGGGATTTTATCGAGGGGTATGAAGCCGAATGCGATGACGTATAGCCATTTGATTTACGGGTTCTGTAGAGAAGGGAATTTGGTGATGGCCAAGAGTTTGTTCAAGGACATGGTTGACAGAGGGTTTGAGCCGGGTGTCAAGTGTTATTTCACTATGGTTTATTATCTTTGTGAAGGAGGAGATTTTGAGGTTGCTTTGGCTATCTGTGAGGAGTGTTTGGAGAAGGGTTGGGTGCCGAATTTTTCGACCATGAAAGCGCTGGTTATGGGGCTTGTGAGCATTGGCAAGGCTGATGTGGCCAAGAAAATCATTCAGCAGGTGAAGGGGAAATTCTCGAGGAATACTGATACTTGGGTGGAGATTGAGGAGAAGATTGGTTAGCGAAAGCTTTGGTTTCTGCGTTTCATTTTTGTTTTTGAACCATGTTTTTGTAATGGTTAACAAAAAATCGACACATTACGACAGTGGTGTCTTTATGATATGGGTAATTTCGTTTCACTTCCTAGAAAGAAAGCAAAAAAGTATAGCTAAGGAAAAACGAATAACCAGGCCAGTCAAAACTCGATAAACTATGCCACGATAAGATGTTGAGGCAACATTTTCCCTAATACGAGCCAGAAAATGTCCTCGTAACACTATTATAGACCGCTGCAAACGTATTGCTAAGGCATAGTTTTTTTTTTTTTTTTTTTTTTTTTTTTTTTTCGGTTTTGAGAGCATAGAAATAACAAGAAATGTAAAATCATGTAACAAGAGAATGGTCTGGCATAATCCCTAATATAGACAGCTCGAGTTTTGTTTTCTTCAAGCTTTGAACTTAGACTTGCTCAACAAAGCAGCTCCGTTTTTCCAGTGTTGTACCCCATATGCAGCAGTTGAAGCTACTGTGGTAGAAGCCACTAACCAACTGCACCAAAGCAAAATAATGGATCGATCAAATTTCGTTACCCACACAAGTATGTTTAAACATTAGACGATTTTTCGTGGCAAGCAAACTACCTCAAGTAAGTGATATATAGCTGAGTTTCTTCATTTCCAAATCCTGGTTGAAGTAGAGCTGCTGCAACCAGGGCCAGTTGGAAAACTGTATTCACCTGTATGTAGCATTAAAAAATAAGCATTTAAACTTCTTCAATGCTCATTACCCAATTTAGCTACAATTTCACTCTTGATGGACAAAAGGAAAAATGTAATGTAGCTTATGTACCTTGCTAATGAAGAGAGGCTCAACTTTTGGTGCATTGGCTCTATCGAGATTGAAGAAGTCACGCCAGGTGTTCCACTAATAAGGAATAAAATTAGAAAATGTCACGATTAAATGAGATTTTAATTACATCGAACTAGACAGATTACTTGATGTTGGTCTTTTCTCACCTTCCAATCCATATCGCTAGCTCTTTTATAAACCGCACCACCAACAAGAGCAACGTCACGCAGCAGAACAAGTGCAACCAGTCCAGCTTCATATAAAAGAGAATTGAGTTTTCAAAACTAGTTGTAAGAACAAGTTACTCATCCCTCGAGTTCCAAGTAAATGAATAAACACCAGCGCTTAAAGGCTTAGTATAGACAATAAGAGATACGATCAACTAGATCACCAGAAAATATAATCTACTAACAATTAGCCAAAAACATTTTCGCTCAAATAAACAAGTCAGTAGCCTTATCCATAGAAGCTACTTTAATATGCAACAGTTCATATATCTACAGACATGTTTGTGGTGACACCTCTCTCAAGCGAGCATTCATATTACAAACATTCCCTGATATTATTTAGATCAAGGAGAAAAAAATAATAAATACAGACAAGGGAAAAATGAACAATTACTCACGATGTAGAAGATCCTTATCCACCATTGCCAAAGCAACACTTCCAATTAGAACCTATAAACATTGTAATAAATAAAACCAGTGAGCAAGCGACTAGGAAGCTTCTCCTAATAAATGAGAAAATAGATATGAATATCCACAGGGGGGTTCTTGATTTATTGACCATTTGACAAAAAAGAACTTCCAAACTAACCTTGTCTGCAAGAGGATCAAGGTAGGAACCAACTACAGAATTGATTCTCATTTTTCTGGCCACGTAACCATCTAACTGAAATTAAATAGAGACATTATGTGAGGAATATTGTTCCTCACACTAAGGGAAAACGAATCTTGTCCTCACTGTCGCAATTGACCATGGAAAAAGAAGGACAACTTTCATACCCAGTCAGTAGCTCCCGATACGGCAAGTCCAATAAATGCATAAGAATACATGTCATGTATAATCATCCTACAAAAGAGTCTTTCAATCAATATTATGACAATGATTCACAAGAAAAATGAAAAATCAATGTAACACAAATGTTAATAGAGTGAAATAATTCATGGAGTCCTAAATAACAAAAGAGAAGGAGAGGCCTGCCAAGAGCCAATATATCTACTTAAATGGTACATGGTGCAATTGATGATAAGGTTAAGTGGTATAAGAAAATGGGTAAAACTGCAGAAGAACAAACCATTATAACACAATAAAATTACAAACAACAAAAATTGTAAATAGAAGATAGTTATTGAAATTAGAAACTGAATGAGTTAAAATATCCGTGGTTCTTTTGATTTTTCGCCTCAAGAATGCGATCTTAGATGTTTTTTTCTTTTAAGAATTATTTGCAATTGATTTTCTTCAGGGTTGGATTTGAACAATATCAATGTTGATTGGGGGGTTTAGCACCACAGTTCCTAATCAAACACTATAACTTCACGAATGTTAACTTCTTATCCAGAAAACATTACATAAATGATGGCTTCATATCCAATATCAAAGTTCACATAAAATGCATTTGAATATCTATTTCCCCCACCACCCCATACACACATCAAATGCAACATTGTTGTCTCCAAATCTCTTATGTGGACAACATCTTTACATCACACATTTCTGAAGCAACGACAAAGTAAAACGCCAAAAACACGCATTATTTCGACACAAACGATAATATACTCTGCCTTACATCATGATGGAGTACTCAAGTCAATCAAGTACACAAATCACTAATTGTATCATATTCAACTGTAACATCGATAATAAAACAGATAAACAAATCGGAGAAGTTCAGAGACTCACCATCCAATAACTGGACCAGAAAGCAACCGAGCGAATGAAATAAAATTTGGAAGATTCAAGTAATCGTCGCTAATCCCGCCGTCGCCAGTAAGCCGCGACACCTCCGAATCAACCGGATCCCCATTTTTATGTTCCTCCCTTCCACTCTCCTTAAGCAGCCTCCTAGCATCGTACGCAACATTGCAAGGAAGTATCGGTGGTTGAAGCAGATTAAGAGCACGGAGGTTCAATACGACGTCGGATTGGAGGAGAGGGGTGGCGGACTGAGAGAGCTTCCATGGAGGATTGAATAGAAATAGTGGTCCCCTCGCCGGATACAGAAAACTCGGCCGGAGGAGAAAGTGGCGGCGTAAATAGCAGCTGTTACTTGGTAGCAGAAACGGCGGCGGAATTGGTGAAGCGGAGCAGTTAGAAAGGGAGAAGAAAGTTCTGGAGAGAGAGGAAGGGGAATTGTTTCTGTGAGATCGAGAAAGTAGGGTTTTCAGTGATCTGAAGATCGCCATTAACGATCACGTTTGAGCATTTTTTGTGCGAAGGCACTGTTTGAGAGGGTATGGCGGTTCTGGGTTTTGGAGTGGGAAATCGAGGCGGCACGTGCCGAGGCTGTGGCACTGGCACTGGCACGTGCTCGGAAAAACATTTTAATATTATTTTTGGAAACAACATCTGCAATTTTTCCGAATTAAATTTCACAGCCTAAGAGAAATAAATTGATTAATTCGGTAAATCTTGATCAATAAACAATGTGTGACAAATATTTCATACAAAAAAAAAAAAAAAAGTACAGCATATATATAAGAAGAGCATGCATGAAGAAAATCTGTTAATATATTTACATAATTACATCTAATAAATCTGTTTCAGTACTACTGCTAACTTCATCAGTCCTGATGCATAAAAATTCAAGTGCAGTGACGACATCTCCGATAAGCGGTCGAGTATTCGCTTCCTCTTGTAGACACATCGCCGCAACGGCAATAGCTTGATGAAGACCCTTTGTCGGGTAATTCCCTTCGAGCAACGGATCGGCCATCATATTATACTTTCTCCTATCTTTAAATAGCGGTTTCGCCTGCATTCGATTTTCAATTACCTCAAGTTATTTATTTCAGTTATTCTTGTGTTATGTGATATATATATATATATATATATATATATATATATATATATATATATAATTTAAAAAAAAAAAAAAAAAACTAACCCAAGCAACAAGATTCTCCTCATCGGGGGGTTTCTTGTTATCGATAGCTCGTCTACCGGAAATGATTTCAAGAAACACAACCCCGAAACTGTAGACATCGGATTTTGTGGTCAACTGTCCTGTCTGTGCGTACTCCGGTGCACAATAGCCGTATGTACCCATCACCCTAGTGGAAACGTGATCCTGTTCGCCTGTGGGCCCCAGCTTAGCGAGGCCGAAATCGGAGAGCTTAGGGTTGAAAACCTCGTCCAATAATATATTGGACGACTTAAAATCCCGGTATATAATAGGCGGATTCGCTGTGTCGTGCAAGTACTCTAGCCCTTGTGCTGCTCCTTTAGCTATCTCCATTCTCGTGTACCAATCCAGCGGCTTCTTGTCCGGAGCTAAATCTGACAAAAGTAGAACAAGATTGAACGAGAAGAAATGCCGAATCGGATATGATTTTATTACATGTTTTTTTGAAGGATCTTAATTATTACCGAGAAGATGATCTTCTAAAGATCCATTGTGCATGTAATCATAGACCAATATCCTCTGGCGCCCGTCTGCGCAATATCCGATTAAATTAACGAGATTCGGGTGGTGGACGAGGCTTAGGGTTAGAACCTCTGCCAGGAATTCCCGGTTCCCCTGCACACCGTTTCTATCGAGCTGCTTCACAGCCACAATCTGCATGCATGCATGCCCCCCCCATGCAAATGAAATATCATCATCATCATAAACATTAGAGAGAGAGAGAGAGAGAGAGAGAGAGAGAGAGAGAGAGAGAGAGAGAGAGAGAGAGAGAGAGAGAGACCTGATTTGTTTTGTTGAGATGTCCCTTATAGACCCTCCCAAATCCACCTTCACCAACAAGGAGTTCGGGGTTGAAATTATCGGTGGCGTTTGCAAGTTCGCGGAACGTGAATACCTCGGACGGGACCCTCACATTTCCATGCCTTAGTATATCTTCTGCTATTAGCCTTTGTTTGGTTCCACCTGCACCATTATTGAATCAATTAAAAAAAAAAAAACAATTACATATATCGATATGTATGTATATATTGAATAGAGATCCTTATAATTAATTAATTACAGGCATTCATGGAAATGCTTCTGGCAATTGTGGATAATGCCTCTGCATCATCATATTTCTTGTTTCCCTTAATTCCATGGACAGAGCTTTTCGAGGTTTTGAGAGATGTTTTCCTCATTTTGTATCACTTGTTTTGATCCCCTGCAACAAAGCCAATATGCTAGCAAAAAGGACCTCTTCTCTGAAGTTTCAAATTTCTTCTCTTCATTTTATTCAAAATTTTTTTTAAAAAAATTAATTGGATCAATCAATAAAGAATTGTGCCCTACGTACAGGAGGTACAGTTGGTTGAAAACAAGTTATTATCTAAGAGAGAATTGAATGGGGAAAATTAAACGAGAATTGAAGATGGGAATTTGTGACCTATAAACATGGGGAACACCTACTTTTCAGGCTACCTTAATCACAACATACCATCTTGGATTAACGGTCGTATTTTTCGGACAAGGTTAGGTGAACTATGCATATATATTTTGGGACAATTTGCTATAGGTCCTAATATAATAGCTTCTATGTATATAAATCCAACTTTCAATAAATATATTAATTTTGATTTATCCAAATACTCCCTAATAATTAATTTTGGTTTGCATTTTCGTATCGGGGATCGCACACATATAGTGATGGATAGGGGTTTCGAAAATATGAGAGATTATTTTGGACAATATAAATATACAAAGGGACGTTGAATCAAATTAACAAAAAAGTAGTCCTTAGTTCAAATAAAATTAGGTGCACAGAGTTTTCTCTAATCCCGCCATTCTTTAAAATTTGCTCTTCTTTCCTATTCCTAATTTGAATGTTCTTTACAGTATAAAGTAGTATTACAGAAAGATGGAGTAAGATAAAATACCTCGGACACGCACAGTATCCTCCACTCCCCATTTATATATATAACAAAATTAAAAAAAAAAAAAAACTCGTTACAGAATTCTTGGGAGGTGGCATACGTATTTGAGGCTCCGATGCGAAGCAAGTGCATTCTTTAAGGCCACATCCAATCCCTCCCCCTGAAAGAGGGAATCGTAAATCTTAGCCACAAATTGAGCCAATTTTTTCTCGTCATCGTCCCAGAAACTCATTGAGTGCTCTCCGTTTTTTTCTGGTTCACTATCTTCCCAATCATCTTCATCAGCACTATCTTCATCATCTTCTCCTTCCTCTTCTTCTTCTCCGATCTCAAACTTTCCATTCTCGTAACTGCTAAACTCACCCGCCCCGTAGAAGGATGTTAACTGCAATTCCTCTGGCTCGGAAGAGGGGCATAAAACTGCTTTAGCACCGGAATCTAGAAACGCCTTGGTCAAAGCTCGGGTGGGCCCACATATTCCTGTGAATATTATAATCCTGTCTCTCCAAGATCCAACCTGTATTTATATTAGTGCCGTCAATAGTTTTTTTACTCTCTTTTTATTTTATTTTTTGGATTCTGTATATGAGAAGAATTTGTTCAGAATTTAATCTAGAAGTGCCTAAGCAAGTTGAAAGTACTGTTATTCTGTGTTACCATATGTTCCAACAATCATGGTTTAGCAATACGAGAGCAATAATTTAATCAAATTCAATCTCACATTACTCGTCATGAAGCTATAATTTTAGGCTGATAAAACTAACACACACGCACGTATATATTTATATAAAGACAAGATTGAAGGACATACCATGCAACGAACATCTTCTGGAGCCAAGTGCATGGAAGGAACTGTTCTTCGAAACATGTAAGCACCAATTTCTTGATCATCTTCCATGACCTTCAGAATACCACAGCTAAGATGTCAATATTCCCACCCTAATTGAGTCAATCAATGACTTTTTCCAATGCCGAGCAATGGTGGGAGTATAGTGTATACCTGTGTTTGGCGTCCGATATACCTGTGGACAACACCGCCAATTTGGAAGTAGGGCCTGCATGACACAAGACCAGCAACCGTTGAAATGTTGGTAATGCTTGATGCATACTTCCTCCTTCTACCCTTCATCATTGATAGTAAGCTGTATTTAACACTCTGTAGAAACTTTTCTGCCAACTCTCCAGGTTCCGCCACCACAAACACATCATTCTGCCAACTATTTGACAAAAGAAGAAACTTTAGAGTGAAATAAAACCAACAACACAGTATATCATGAAGGAAAAATAAAATAATAATTGGGTCAAATTACTAATATACCTTAAAATGGAGCCTCTTGTGTCATTTTGCAAGGCCAAATGAAGAACTCCAACCTGGGGCGAATTTTGTATCTTCTCATGCAAAGACAGGACAGGAGCAGAAAGCTGCCTACGCTTGGGAGGAGAGTCGGGGGGTGAAGCTGATGATTTGGCAGAATGAAATCCATCCAAATTTAAAGGTGGGACTAAATCAATTCTACCAACACGTTGTGGGCCAATGTCAGGGCTGTAAATTAGGGGACTTGACGGGAAGCTTCCAGTAAATAAAGGTGATGTAAATGGTGTTGGAATTGATCCTGGAATATTCTTACTAGCCACAGATACCCCGTTAGCAAGTGATAATCTTATTCCATTACTAGCACAAAATGTCTCAAGTGCGCGCGCGTGATGAAAAACTCTTCCAGAATCTGGACTATTGGAAGCCTCGACTAGAAGTACACCACGTCTCCAGCCCAACGAGGCATTATTCTCATTTGTAACTGTGGCATAAAAAGACAACAGAAGTTCAAGGAAGCAGCTAAAGAAGGATCGAGAGTTAAAGGGGATTTCAGTAATACCTTTTGCCCTGAAAAGCTGCTGAGACCTCAAACCATCTGAAATTTTCTCATCGTGCATACTCTCGAGCAGTCTTTCAGCAAGATTTTTGAATGAAAGAGAATTATTCTGAATGTACTCATCTGTAGCACCCTCTAATTTCAACCAGATTGCTGGATCAGTCTCGTCAAGCTCCATATCACAACGTTCATCAACTGTACAAGCAATCAAATACTTGAACATGTTTTGTGATATTGCAATTAAAAATATCTGAGAGATGCAACTGCTTTCGTTGAAAGACACAACTGCTATAGTGATTGCAAGTCACCAAACAAGTTGGATCACTGTAGTGATTGCAAGATTGCAGTTTGATTTCTAAATTAATCATAATTAGTAGTTTTCACATTCCTGTGAGGAAACTGTCATGAGCCACGAAAAATATTAGCACGATCTTTGTAAACTTTTATGTTATAATTGATAAAAAGATTAATTGATTTATTCAATACAAATATACAGGCATCCTCTAACGAATATGACAATCATTTGACCCTAAACTAACAAAACGGTTTTTTTTTCTTTTTAAGTTTAATATGTATAAAATCTAAAATAATCTTTTTTATTTCCCAGAAACTCAGGATAGGCACCTTATCTGTACTTAGATCTCATAGAAGACACTGGCAAAAAAACTTCTCTAAAAGTTCACCTGGATTAAATCGAAAATAGTGTACATCTGGAAGCATAGGAAGCAATGTACTTAAAGTTTCCTCCACACGGTCAACAGAGCATGCACTTTCAATTAGCACCTGCCCAGTGTCCAAATAACGCCAGCCACCCTTGCGGACCTAAAAGAACAGAAACATAGAGAAGTAATTTAAAGAACTATAGGAAAGGCAATTGTACTGAATCATAAAATAACTGCACCACCACAATCAAATATACTAATCCATTCACCAAAGTTTATCCAGTAAATGGTCAGGGAACTGTCACATTGAAAACTGCAAGTAAATATGAAACACAAAATCCTTATCACAGTCTGCAGCAAAATGATGAATCTTTTCATACCTTTGTTGGAACAGATCCACAGCCGATTGAAACTAAGCAATCAATTTTAGAATCAGGCCACAACAGTTGAGCTTCTCGTACAGCAAATATTGTGGGATTATTTGCTACAATAGCCCCATCTTGCCAGCGATATATACCTGCAGCATAGAGACAAGAAAAAGTTCCAGATATAACAATCTAGAACATGGAAATAAAATCCATGACAGATGGTGAATACAAAAAAGTAAGTACCATCAGAGAAATCATCCAAATAATATGGTGCCGCAGATGATGCTCTTATAGCTTGCCAAATGGGATGCTTACAACTCCCTATAAAAGCATTGCGTTTGTATCCAACCTGAGCTCCAGTAGTCGCCACTCCTTGTCCACCATTTGCCAAGTTTTCAGAAACTGCAGAAGAGATCTCGGGTGTTCCAACAGGGTACTGTACGTCAGAAGAACAGCGAATTTGTTAGATAATAAAAGGTAACAGAAATAATTCAGTAATACGATAAGGATAAGAATATCAACCTGGTAATTTCGAAATATAAACGGCTGAGCTGGTGAAACGCTGACAAGAGTAGATACAACAAAAACTTTGGGGATCTTTTTAACTGCTGATTCTATTAGGAGATCTCCATCATCATCAGCACACATCTCCTTCAGCAGCCTCTCAAAATGATCTGCACTGTGCTGGAAAAAGATTGCAATATAAATGATAATGTCATGATGCACGATAAAATTCATATGATAAGAAATTGGGCAAATAGAAAAGCAGGACAGATGTTAGAGATGAAGTAAATGATTACAAATAGAAGAAAAAGTAATTGCGTTTTGACATATCAAAGAAGTAAAAAAAAACTTGTATTCTCTCATTATTCTTCAATTTGTAGAAGGGCCTTATTGAAGAGAAAAAAAATTAAGATATCAAGACTGGAATAACGGAAGGAGATAGGAGAAGGGCATACATACTTTAGATCCATGAACGACAACACGAAAACTTTGCGATGAGCTCTTGTAAAGTTGATCCAACTTTTCTCTCCATGTTGCTGCTTCATTTTCCTTTGGAACAGGTTCCGCAAACACAAGTTTCCCTAGGAAAAATCAACCACAAAGTAATTACAGAGAGAAAAAAAAAAAAAAAAAAAAAAAAGAGGTGAAGGAAAAGATATGATAAAACATGGACCGTGGTGTTGAAACCATGAAATGATTACCAAGTTCCTTGTATATTTCTTCACACTTGTCCAAGGACATCAATTTTACTCCAAGAGCAACAGCAAGCATGCCACCAGTAGATGTTCCACAAATAAGGTCAAAGAGCTCATGGATCTGCTTTCCAGTACCCTTCTCAATCTCTCTCAGAATCTTCACAGTTGCCAACCCTTTCATGCCACCACCATCCATTGTAAGTATGCGTAAGCCTCGTTTGGGGACCTGCCTCCCTTTAATAGCACGTCGCAAGATCTCATTCTCCCCTAAAATGACATATATAAGTCATGCAAGACTGTATCCCCTATTCATATAGAATCATAAGAAAGATAACTGCAATAAATCACCTAAGATAGCCAAAGCACGGGCTGCAGCTCTGCACACACGGGAATCAGATGCAGCTGTCAGCCGCAGAAGAAGTTCCCGCAGACTTTCTGATGCAGCAAGCCCTCGGCGGTTTTCCAAACAGAATGCAAAATTTCCAACAGCAAATAAAGCTAATCTTTGCACCTAGAGGAGATAAATCTTCATTTGAGAAAACGACAAAACACAACGTAACAATACAGACGTAAAAGAAATATGTAATGCAACTTGCCTCTGGATTCTTGTGCGCACACAATACTTTCAATGACTTCAATGTATCTTTGGTCAACATCTTTAGAGCTACACTATCAGATGTAAAAGCCAACTTGACCACAACTTGCAGAACAGATATAACTTCTTTGGACTCGGCGGATTTCAGCACTCGCTCAATAGGTTGCATAACATCAGATTTTATTAGTTGCATTGCCACAGAAGCATCTGAAGCAAGAGCTGTGAGTGCAGAGCAGGCTTGTTCAACCTGGTATATAAAATCATAAATAATAAGTGCAAAAAATCAGAAGAAACAAGCAAATTAACTGATAAATTGAAACGTACCACATGCTGGTTTTCACTGCTTATCATACTTATTAGCTGCCGAACTGCATTCTCATCTTTTCCCACGACAACACGGTTTCCCTCGTCTTGCATTATCTTTGCAAGGGCAGATGCAAGCAATGGGTGATGGCAAGAAGAAAATCGGAATATGAGTGAGAAGAAGGCACTCAGTTTATGCCGAGATGCAACAAAGTAAGAACTATTCTCCGTCTGAATCAATCACAAAAAGATAAAGGGTGTAATTCAATTCAACAGCTTTTATCCTTGATATGTGTACTAATCATCAGAAGAATTCATCACCACATACCTCAATCTGTACATTGACGGAAACTAAATTGTCATCAGCCACAATCCGAATATTTGCAAGGGACAGATGGCGAAGTTCATGTAACGGCAAAATATCCGGAAGAAATTCAAGGGGATTGCCAAAAAGTCTTAATACACGTAACTCTGCCATAGCCCTGTCAACAAGCTGAAGAGAAGTATTAAGCTATGGAACAACATCTGAGATATTAAAGGAGAAAATCAATAGATATAAAGCAAGCAAAATTACAGGTGAAAATTTAATGACCTGAAATCAAGAATTGGGCGGACCAGCTTGTTGTGTTCCAGGGATAATTCAACAAGACCAGCACACTGTCTTAATTCAACTGCTTGGTTCCAGCGTAGATTATAAATGATGTATTAGCACGAGTAACTAAGTTAAGCTATAGTTTATGACTCATCAAACTTATTATGTGAATGTGGACATAGTTGCATAGACAACCAACAATTATCCAATCAGTTATACAAAATGAAAATCCCAAAAGAAATATCCAAATCTTACCAGGCACAGAAACGAGCATGTTATAGTCTACGGCAAGAACTTGTAAGTTTTTCAGCTCACCAAGCTCAGGTGGTAATACTGACAGCTTGTTATTATCAAGGTACAGTTTCTCAAGAAGGGGAAGACCCGTTATCTCAACTGGCAATGCCTGAGGACAACAAAAACACAAATACAAACAGATAATTAGATTGTTGAAATACTCTACGTGCTTGATAAAATAATCGGAAGCTGACACTCATCAGTCAGTCAGATTTAAGCATTCTAAATTTAAAGAAACATCAAAGAGATAGAAACCTGCCCATCTCAATATTAGACAATATACGAACAGCCTTTCAGAACTAAGAAAAACTAAACACCAGCAGTTCAAAAAGTGAAGTCACCAGATAAACAATCAAACAAAGCACAATCAGAGATATATCACGTGAAAACCACTCATACACATAGTGAACAAATAATACGACAGATACATATATCATACTATCCACAATGCTCTATAATGTGTTCAAATCTTCAATTTAACTCCAAAGCGTTAAAGGAAGAAAGGACTCACGGTTAATCCAAGACCACAAAGGCTGACAACGGCAACATTCCGCCAATGATCCGCACAGCCGGACCCCACTGCCGCCCCATCTGAAACCCCATTGGCGAAATTCAACCTCATCAGCTTCACCAAAACCCCCATTCCCCCATCATTCTGTTGCCCCGAACCACCGGCTCTCCACATTATAACCCCCTTCAACGGCTCCCTCTTCCTGACAACCCTCATCTCCAACCCCACCCCCAACCCCTCCACTCCATTACTCTCCAAATTAATTTCTCCAGCGTCCTCTGCAATCCCCAAACAGTCCCCCCCATTTTCTGTCCTCTCCCTCAATTCAATTTCCACGATGTCTTGCGGCGTGGGCAGGGCGATCATCACCTGCGACTGCAGCTTCAACGCGACCTGATCCTCGTCATCGCCGGCGTTCCAATCTAGGTCGATCCTAAACCCCAATTGGTCCTGATTGCTGGTGGTGGTCGGCGGTCCGTCCTTGGAAGTGGGGGATGAGCCCGAGAAGGCGGAGCTGGCGGATGACGCGCGTGATGACGTCGGGGAGACGTCCTCAAGGGTGTCGATGTCCAAACCGTAACTCAGCGTCAGGTGGAAGACATCCGTCGGGCGCTTCCAGCCCAGTCCCCACGACATTGATGCCAAAATTCAGATCAGAATTGTTTCTTTTATTTTTCTCCAATTTCTCGGATTAACAGTGATGCGATCCGACCAGTCTGGATTCACGAATGTGATTCCACATTCGATTAAATCGTGTAGATCAAGGATTTGTACGTATACACACAATAATCACAAACACAGAGTGAAGTATTACAGTGTTTTGATTTGTGGGAGTGATGGTGTGCGCGTGTGTACAGATGAATGTTCTGGGACTGGAATACAGGAAATTTAAAATAGTATGATCTCCATTGCATGTGTTAATTAATCTCTGTTGGCTCTGTTTGTAGAGAGTGGCGTTTTTTGGAGATTTTATTGCTACAGCCTACTGGTCTGAATGGCGGTGGAGGGGACGGACGGAACGACAGCGTTTCGAATAGGGAACTCTGTAAATGTTATTTAGTTTGCCCCTATTACCAAAATTCAACAAACATTAAAATCATGATACGGATTCGGATTGACTAATTGCCGTTTAATAAAATTTCTACGAGTTGATTACAATTTATAGGTTTCTTACATTAAAACTCTTTTGTAGGGGAAGAATGTAAGAAATTTATAAACCGTAGGGGGTAAATGTAATTTCTCAAAATAAAGGGATTTTTTGTAATTACATTTTGCTTAGGGAGGTTGTTGTAAATTAACCTTAAATAAAGGTTCCTTCGACCCTACATCCGGTTAAAAAACACCGGGTGAGTCTTCTGCTGCCACGTATTCTTTTTTTTATTTTTCTAAAACCCCTAAAGGTTAACCCTAGCGGCGAATTTATTATAAAATACAAAAAAGAGACACGTGGCAGCAGAAGACCCACCCGGTGTTTTTCACCGGGTGTAGGGTCGAACAAATCTTAAATAAATGAAATTGAAGGACAAATTGGCACTGCTTTAAATTAAAATCGAAATCTGATGTTTGGATTCATTTTATTTTTGTAATTTTTGAATTTTTTTTGAAAATAAAAATCAGATTGAAAATAGAAATCTCAGATGAATCCGGGAATCAGATTTTTCCGAATGAAATTTCAGATGGTGGATTGAAAAATAACTAAAATATTGACCTCAATATACCGTTTCTTCAAAGTTGTCTTCATCGCCACCGGAGTTCGACATACATAATTACATTGGATTCCAGACAAGTGAAAATCGAGAACAAAATCGAAACATATTCGTTCACAGAAACCAAGGAACAAGTACAGAATTCGCCATTAGCAGTTACTGTTGTTGTCGTAAGCAAAGTCTTTTGAAGCCTTGGATGAAAATTACGGCTATAAGTTGAGGAGTTCACTAAGACCTGAAGCAAACATAGTCTTCAGTTCTTGTTTTACTCTATCACATGCAAAAATGAAATCAATCGCCCTGTCATTCATCTCGAACATTTCCCTCTTTCCAATACCTTATAATCGAAATATGACCAAAACGCAAAACAAAACAATAATCAGGATAAAACCATTGGTAACACATAGTTTTAGATTCACATGTACAGAATAATTACAACACCTACCAAATGTAGACGAGGCTAGTGCGTACTCAGCAGATATACTGGTAGAGAAAACCCCACAATCATCCGTGCACAATATTAACGGATGGTTTGATTTATATAAATCAGCTGCATGCAGAAATTGCTCCAGTGGATTTAAAAATGTATATCACTAAAGTTTATCCAGAAAGAGTTATGAAATCTGACCAAAATGATGAACATCTACAGAAGCAATCGTTTCAGTTATAATGTTGGATGTCAAACAAATCTCCACCTGTTTGAATAAAGGATCAATCAAACAAAAACGAACGACCAAGATAGCAAAATGCAGTGAGATGTTTTGTAATGCATTTCTAAACGTATATTATTAGTGAAGGCGCCCTTTAGACAACCAAAAGAACAAAAAAAAGGTATATATGAAACACTAACCGGAATCTTGAGCCTTTTTAAGAGATTCCACTCATCATCTTCAAAGCAACAAGCATGTCCGATTCTCCTAGGAAGAAAGTTTAGCATTGCACGGATTTCATCTGGATTGGGTACCTATAAGCACTAATAAGTTGCAAATACTAATGTTGGTTCACGAGAAATAAATTATTAAAGACAACAGAAATAATTGCACCTCGCCACAGTGTAGAGTAATTGGAAGTCCTTGCTCTTTAGCAAACTCCAAAGCTGGTAAGAATGTCAGCCTAGTACAAGGAATTACCGGATATTCATCGTCAAATTACGCAAAGAGAAACGATGCTGACATCATGTAGGTAAGTTACCATTCACCAATGACAGGGTTTCCGGAAAGATCTATGCCCACTACTCCCAAATCTCTCATTTCCAAAGCAAGCTTCACCTTTTAAAAAAAAGGAGTAATAAAGTCTAAAATCTCTCGATTTGAACAAACTTATCAAACCCTAAACTTATTTTATTTTACCACATTAATTTAACTTACAGTTTCAATTGCAGCTTCAGTTGTTTCACGGCGGTCGATACTGAGCAGTAGCCCCACGTATATCTTCTTTCTTCGAGTTTTATTATTACAGATATCATCCACAGTGTGGGAATGTGCAGAAGTATCTTCTTTCAGTTTATGACAAAGATCCACCTCAACCGAATTAACAGATCTTATGCCCTCTAGAACTGCTTCCATGTACGAGCGCTTGCTCATTCCTTTAGAATCATTGTTCTACACTTGAAGAATGTAAAACGTAAAGAACTCACATGTATCAAATATACAAAATCCAAGATCAAAGCAACAACGAAAAACAATAGAAAATTCAGTACTCATCGTGCAACAAACAGTATATATACCTTTGGAGTAGTTCTTAGTTCCAAGTAAACAACATTATCATCAGCAAAATCTTCAATAACCTAATGCACATTAAAAAAATAATAATAAGGAACCGAATAGTGAATACAAGTGGTGAATGTGTAATGTATAAGAATACGTAATACAACGACTCGGAATTGCTGTTGCAAATAGTACCTCTTTGGTCATCCTAGTAACAATTTTGTGGTCGGTAGTAAGAATATGAATTAAGTCGAACAACTTGAACACTTCCTTGAACGATCGATCATCTGCACTCACAATGTCTTAATTCACATCAACGATAAACCCTCATACCAAAACTCATCTCAATAAAATCCCAAATAACTAGTCACACACGAATTTGTCAGTAAGCTTCAAGTATTCTAGTCGGATGTCTAAGGATTACAATAAATGGAGATTAAGCAGTAGTTCTAAAAATTCCCAAAAATTCTACGCATGGCAATTGGCAAAAAAATTAAATAAATTAGAATCTACAAGAAAATATTCATTAGAACCAAAACCAGAGGCGCCGTACTTTTCAGTATAACATGCTCCACGTCTGGGAAATTAATAGCTCCCTTCTCACCCAATTCTCTAGCAAGTTTCCTGCACATGATATTTTCTTACCGATAACTCAAAAAAAAAAATATCGGACTTCTTTTCAATTTTCAGCGCATAAATTGAAATCCGTATAAAAAAAAATCCAGCTGAATTAAAAGAAAAATTTACAAAAATTGAAAAATCAAACAGTTGAAGTGAGAGAAGGCGTACGTACAGCAGAGTGGAGTCTCTAATGGAGCCATTTAGATGAGCATGTAATTCAATCTTCGGCATCGATACACACCACTCCATCTCTCTCCCTCTCTCTCTCTGCGAATTGCGATCAGCAGTTCAATATTTTTGGGGGCAAAAGACAAAATTTAGCTCCTCTTTCTAACTACTCTTGTACCTATTTGACTGATGAACTTTTGTTGTAGGGTTTTCTCGTAATTTGACATTACGTCAAGGGGCTAACCGTAATTTACCCTTTTTTTTTTTCTAAGAACCACGTTTCTCTATATTGTACTTGGTGGACAAATTGTTGGGCCATTTTTTAATATAGATCGGCCCCTTTAGGATTATATTTCCATTTTTACTTAAAATAAATATATTCTGGAATAAGAATTAAGAAGGCTTATTAAAATATTATTTAATGAGTTTATCAAATGTCCGTCTTTTTTTTTTTTTTTTCTTGATGTCAACGAAGATAAATAAACAAATAAATAATAAATATAAGTAAAAAAAAAAGAAAAGAAAAATAGTAGTATTATCGAATAAACCCCACACGCAATCTCAGACTGGCAAACAACCTGTTCTCCTCTCTGCAACACTCTTCCCATTATTCAGACGCGTTTTCATTCATTTGTAAGTGCTTTTCTTCCCAATTCCTTCTCTCTGTAAAATCATTATTGTGTTTTTGTGTGTTTAAATCTATTGGATTTTGCCCCGTTAATTTGGTTATCGCAATCCTATGTTCTGAGGTAATTTGTTCTTCGCGATTCTATCTAAGTTCTGAGTTAGGGTTTAGGGTATAAATTAACCGATCTGAATTAATATTCTCGTATTTGTGTTTTTGGAGCTCGATTGAACTGCGAATCTAGGGTTTCTTCCCCGTTTCCCCCCTTTTTAACTTTCTGGGTAATAATCAGATATTGTTCTAATTGATTTGATACGAAGACTGTTGACAAATTTATTGTAGCAGAAAAGCCGATGGATTAATGATTCATTTGGCTAGCTGTTTGTTATACATGTTCTATGAGGGCGTCTATATTTGGATTAATGATTCATTTGGAAATTAAGGTTGAGGATTTTGTTTTATGTTTGTAATAAATCTTGTGTGTTTCTGTTAATATCTTACATTTTGTTTAGAATGATGGATCTGATGATTGCTTGGACTTGTGATTTTGTGCAGTGACGAAGGATTAGGTTCTCTTTGCGCGTGTCCCATTCTCTTCTCCAATTATACGTAGATATATATATACATATATATTAGATTAACATAATTCGATGGAGGTTAAGCTATGGAACGACAAGCGCGAAAGAGAGATGTACGATAATTTCGGGGAGCTATTCGCGATTATAAAAGTTACAGAGAAGCTCGAGAAGGCCTACGTGCGCGACATAATTTCCCCATCGGAATACGAAGTCGAATGCCAAAAGCTGATTGCCCATTTCAAAACTCTGTCCTCCACGCTTAAAGACATCTTACCTAGCATCGAGCGTTTTCACGATACGTACAAGATGGACTGCCCTTCTGCCCTCAACCGCCTCTTGGTGTCTGGAGTTCCGGCCACTGTTGAGCACAGAGCCGCCGTGGCTACATCGGCCAACACATCTGCCGCCACTGTGGCGGAATGCGTTCAGAATTTCATTACAGCCATGGATTCATTGAAACTGAATATGATTGCAGTTGATCAGGTGCATCCTTTGTTGTCTGATCTGTCAGCTTCTCTCAACAAGCTGTCGATATTGCCGCCTGATTTCGAAGGGAAGACAAAGATGAGGGATTGGATTTCGAGGCTGGCGAAAATGGGAGCCGCGGATGAACTCACGGAGCAGCAAGCTAGGCAGCTGCACTTCGACCTGGAATCGTCGTACAACTCGTTTATGGCGGTGTTACCTACTCTCGGTACATAATTCTTGATTTTGAGGTATGATTTGTGTATATAATGCTACATTTAAATATATATGTTATAAACTATTTAGTAAAACTTCTGGAGGAAGACAAACTGTTTAGTGCCGGTGGCTTGCATTTTGATGTTATCACGTGCTTTTAGGAATTGTATGGATTTTTGAAATGTGATTTGTGACTGTAGTGAATGGAATTTGTTGTCCTGTTTGATGGAGATGAAAGAATTATTCAAGTTGCACTTTGTTTGACCTTGTATTTGTAGTTTATCTTAATAAAATTTTCAAGGTATTTGAAGTGTTTTAGGCTTGTTCAGTAATATGTTACATTGTCGGAGGAGGCATAAAAACTAGTGATTCCTCTTCTCCTATGCATTTCTTTGTCTCCAATGTGTCGAGTTGCAAATGGAAAACTACAAAGAATTATCATATTCTGCTTTATCGTGGCATTTGGAAATAAACACACGTAGTCCCTTGTAATTTTGCTGAGTTTGCTCGTTCTTGAACTTCTTTATTGTGCTGTATCGGTCAGTACTGATGAATTTGAAAGAGAACTGACCAACTCTATTCTTGCAATCTTATTTCTCTTGTATGTATGAACGTTTACTTGGCCTCGTCTGCGATAGCTTTGCTTCACATGTTTGAAATTTTTGTGGTTCAAACTTGTTTGATTATCTGCCTTGATTTATTTGGTAGTATTCTTATTCATCCTGCATTCAAGTAGTATATAATTGTATCTTACATTACAGTACAAGGCCAATGGTTTAAGTGTTCTTTAACTTAGTTACCATCACCATCCAATCCTGAATTCCCGATGATCCAACGGCTAAAAGTACGACTAAACTGAGATTGTATCGTATCGAGTATTTTATTTACGAGAGCAACATTAGTTGTGTGAGTATCATTACAGCTAGTGACTAGTGCAAGTGTGTGAGGCTATTTGTTTCTCCAGTTGATAGTTTAAGACTGTCTTTGCATCTTTATTACCACCCCCACTGCAATTAACCACCACCTTTGTCCCATTCGGCAAACCCTCGCAAAGCTTTCCCAGATATGCCAATGCATGAGATGCCTCCAGCGCTGGGCATATACCTTCTACTCTGCACACCAAACCATACGCTGCAACCAAAAATAAAAAAAATAAAATAATAATTATTACATGATTATTATTTAGTTTATGTAATATTTTATATTAAAAAAAAAATATTATTACCATCTAGGGCTTCTTCATCTGTCACCGTGTAAAACTCTGCTCGGCCAATGTCTTTGAGAAAGCACAGTTCTGGGCTAACCCCTGGGTATTCTAATCTGCGGTTTCGATAATTAAATTATTAATCCATAATTTGAATTAGTATATTTTTAAATTTTCTTGATTGATGACTCACCCAACACCGATTGAATGCGGGCCAATAATTTGGCCTTCGTCGTCTTGTAATAAATAGCTCATGGCCCCATGGTACACCCCTATTACTCCTTTAGCCATAGTTGCTGAGTGTTTGCCGCTATCTATTCCGGCGCCGGCTGCCTCAACTCCGATCAATCGGACGTCTTCGTCTCCGATGAACTCATGGAAAATCCCTAGCGCGTTGGACCCACTACCCACACATGCAACTACTACATCTGGCTTCCCGCCCCACTTCTCCATTGCCTGTTTTCTTGTTTCTTTTCCGATTATCGATTGGAATTGTCGGACTATGGTCGGACATGGGTGGGGCCCCACCGCCGTTCCGGCCAAGTAGTAGCTTATGTCCAAATCTTCCACCCATTTTCGTATTGCTTCTGATGTGGCATCCTTGAATGTTCCTTGAACGGATGTTATCTGGATAAATGGATTTATTCAGATCTATTGTAATTAACGATCAAACGTTAAATATAATACTAATGCTAATAGACAAGGCACCTGAGCACCAAAGAGCTTCATCATGAGCACGTTGGACGACTGTCTCTCCATATCCACGTCACCCATGACTATCGTACAATCCAAGTCAAGCTTCGCACAAGCTGCGGCGGTGGCGACGCCGTGTTGGCCGGCGCCGGTGGCGGCGACCACCCTTTTCCGGCCCATGCGTTTGGCGAGCATCGCCTGAGCGATGGCGTTGTTGATCTTGTGGGCTCCACCGTGATTGAGATCTTCCCTCTTGAGATAAATCTCCGGGCCTTGTCCGTTACAGTTCTTGTAATGATTAGTGAGCCTTTGAGCAAAATAAAGAGGAGTTTCACGCCCCACGTAATCTCTTAGCGCAACTGCAAGCTCAGCCTATACGACAAATAAAAATATAATTTCTATAATTAGAACAAATAAGGATAAGTAATAAAAAGAAAAAGGGTAAATTACACCCACACCCCTGTGGTATGCTTAAATAATTTTAAGGTCCCTATAGTATCGATAATTACACTCACCCCCTTGAAACGTAGTTAAAAACTCTAACGGGATAATGTATTGGATACATTATTCCGATATGGTTCTAATGGACTATTAATTTTTGTTAGTGGTGGAGATAACATAGATTTATGGGGAGTTATGGGGTGACATGGCTCCCCCAATATTTCTTAAATCACCAATAACTTTTTGTTGTCTCCATCACTTCCTGAAACCAATAGTCCGTTAGAACTCTATGGTAACAACGTATCCAATGCATTATCCCATTAGAGTTTATAACTACGTTTCAAGGGGGTGAGTGTAATTATCGATACCACAGGGACCTTAAAATTATTTAAGCATACCTCAGGGGTGTGGGTGTAATTTACCCAAAGAAAAAAATCATGTTGAATTTAAGGATACAAAATTACAGCTTTGTCCTTACTCGTTATCAATCAAATAGGTTAAGTTATTAGTTTGGGAATAGGATTATTAATTTATTATCCGTACTTAAAATTAAGAATAAGAAAACACCCAACAACCTTGTGGAAATCATTAATTTTTGTAGGATATCAAACTGCCAAGCTCCATAAAGCTAATGTATAATATATAAGTTCCCCTTGTGCAGTATTGATTACTGCCAGGGAGAATATATATATATAACAGAAAGATAGAACTAGGGGTGATTAATTGAAAGATAAAATAGATAAAGGATATCAGCTCAGTCTTTCAATTTTATCACACCAGAAATTCACACATTCAGTATACACAACCAGAGTTCCTTAAGAAGAACAAATCTTCTTTCTCTCTCACCCCTCAAACCCTAGATTACCTAGAAAACCACAAAGGAAGAACAAATCAAGCACTCAGGCTTACCCACTCACCAAAACCCCAATTTCAGAACTCACACATAGAAATCTGAAGGGTTTAGGTCGGATTTAGGGTTTTATCTGTGTCTTACCCTCTTCCAGCCTCCATGCCAGTATTTAAAGGGACTAAAGTCAAATAGAGCCGATGAAGGCTGTACCGGAGAGTCAAAGTCACCACTGTACCATGCTCTTTGACCTCCAGCCATAACTCAGTCAAGGCAGTACAAGGGAGGAAGAAGACAGAAGCAGGAGCGGCGGAGAAGAAGAGGTAAGGCTAGGGTTTCGGAATGAGAGAAGTGAGGAGAGAGAAATGAGTATTTAAGTGAGGAAATAGACGGTCTAGATTCAGCCTGAAATCGAACGGATTGATTTGGCTCAAAAATGGATTGAGCTCACTTATAAAATCTTGGGCTTAACTCAATATGGTGGTGTATATAACTGATGGCAATTGGGCTTTATGGCCCAAAACACATTTGGGCCATAAACCAACAATTCTTAATACTAACAATTCTTAATACTGATAATACATATGAAAATCGAGCTAGAAAAATAAAATAAAATAATAGTAATTAACCTGAAAATGGGAGTCATGAAGAACAAGATTGAACTCATCAGCAAGTTTGTTCAGACAAGTGACAAGTGTTTCGGGCACGAAGATTCCTCCGAACCGACCGAATTTTCCGGTACTAAACAAAGATGCCTCCTCCATTTGATTTACCATTCTGTGACGGCCGTCTGACGGTCTTCTTCTCGCGCCAACATCACTTGAACATACCATCATTGAATAAGCTTTATGTTCGACCGATGGCCGATTTACGTTTAGAGTTAATAAATTAGGGTTAAAAAATAATCGAGGGCACGAGTACTTGTTCGCATGGTGATCACGAGAACGAGAATATTGAAGATGTGTGGTGCAAGACATCGATCTTATAAGTAAAAATAATATTGCTGGTAGTGTAGAGCAAAGTTTGTTTTTCTCAATTACTCTGTGTTTCGGGCTTTTATAGAGAGAGAAACGAATAGCAGATCGAGGTAAAACAATGGAGTGAACGTATTCGATTCGTTTAATTATATCCTTTGTAGAAGGTAGGGTATATAGAATCATATTTGGCCCCTGCAATATTATTGATGAATTGGAAACACTGTTTTGTGGTTTTCAAGTATCACAACTGCACATTCAATTTATTATGTGGGGCCGGTCCGCGGTATTTGGTGGGTGGTCTTGGCCAAAACTATTAAGAAACTAGGCCCTAAATAATACGAGTTCCGTTGCAGTATCCTCGATTTTTTTAGAAATAAATGCATGAAATATAAATGTGTTTAACAATAAAATTATATTAGAAAAATTGTCTGCTTTAAACGTTAGGAAAAAACTAATAATTGTGTAAAAATAAGAATTAAGGTACAAGTTTTACAAGAACATAAATAGAATAGTACAAGCATATAACATCTTATAAACTATTTTTAATTTTGTTATCTAATACGACTTTTATATATACTATTATTGTACTACTTAAACTTAAAAAATAAACAAGTATATTTGATTTTTTAAAATTAAATATGACTATAATATGATCATTATAAATGCTACTATATATCATAAGACGTTAATTTACTTTGTTTTTGGGTGGGGCCTGGGCAAATTGCCAAATACACTAAAATATATAATTAAAAAAAATAAAAACACTCATTTTCATTTTTCAGCAGATGGCTGCCCTACAAGCTATGCCTTGGGTCGACCCTGCACACAACCATGCATATAAATAACATGCACACTATATATATAATGTTTTAAAATATGAGCCATTTGATTGTTGTCATGAATGACTACGGTCCAAAATACATTTAGATACTTAGTGCATGCATTTATTGCATTAACATAATTACATCTATCACTCAACGTAACTATAATTTTTTTTTTACACCTCCACCCTTATGGTGTCAAACTCAACATAATATAATCATTTTGATTTCGTTACTCATTTTGTGTAAAAATACAGTTTCTAATCCACCATAATCTGATATATATGTACAAGCCAAAAAACACATATTATGATCATCTTGCTCCAAAATGTGGAATTCGAATGGGATAAAATGGGTTAAAAAATGTACAAAAGTGATAATATGCTATATAATTAATCTCGAAAAAGTTCCACTAAATTTGAAACTGCAAAGGTGGACGTATAAAAAGATTTGTAGTTGAGGGTTGGTTATAATTACCCAAACATAAAAAGTGTTTTCGTAATTTGATTATACCTCAGAGGTGGTTGTAATTTACCCTTTTTTTTATTACCAGGACCACACTGAAAAATAAATAAAAATATATATAACACCGTACAGCATAAAATAAGACAGCTAGCCCAAATCATGTAAAACAAGAAGCACATTAATCACTAGTAATGCACAAACATCGGAATAATTACAGTTTTGGTCCCCCAAGTTTGCACGTTTTTTATTTTTGGTCCCTCATTTACCGTCGTCGATAAAATACACATTAATGTTGTCACATTTTAACACATTTAGTCCCTCCATCTATTTGACCGTGGTCAACGGCTGAATTTGGGATTTTTCTTTGAGAAAATTGCAATGACCCCTGTATTCTTTCAAAATATTCTAAAAATCTCTAAAATTTTATCCAACCATAATTTAACCCCAATTTCATCAATTAAACAATTTTAACCAATGACCCCGATTTTTCAAAATTGGGTAATCCGACCTTGACTTTCTTTTTAACTCGGTTGACTCTTTTTTCGACTGATCTTTTTTGGCCGTTGTTGACCGATGTTGAATGTCGGGTTAACATCGTTGATATTTTTCTCTTGATTTTTATTTTATTTTTATTTAAATTGTTGAGTAATGAAAAAATATAATTAAAAAAAAATTCCAAGCTGATAATCGGCAAGAAAAAAATATCATAAAAAAATTCAAAATAAAGAAAAAAGGAAAAAGTCAACGCATCTAATTATTAACGGAAAATTTTTAAGACAAAAAAAAAGATAAAAATTAACGGTCGGTGTTAGCCCCAAAACCCGTTTACTAGAGTCACTACAAGAAAAACTAGTTTCAGTGACCAAATTCTCAACGACCATAACTAAATGGTCACTAAATGTTCACATTTAGTGACCAAAAGTAATTTTGTAGCAAAAGTGGGAAGGGTTAAATCTTGTTGCGACCAGCGAACATTTGGTAGCTATAAGTGGTCACTAATAGTTAGACATCTTGTAGCAACTAAAGTTAAAGTTTGTAGCGACAATTTTTATGGTCACTATAACTTAGTGTCAATAGTGACCAATTTAACATCAATTTTTTTTACGGTTGCTACGAGTCTTTAATTTAATTATTAACAACCATTTAATTGGTTTGCTAGCAACCACTTGAATTTGGTTACTATGAAACTACTTACGGAAATCAAATCGATTTGGTCACTAGTTTATTTTTTAAACAAATCAAGAACAGAAAAGAAAATAAAAGGAAGATGGGGGGCGAAAATGCAAATAATAAAATAATTACAGCCATTTATCATTCTGTCGTTTCTTCATCACAAAACATGTCGTTTCTTCATCACAAAACATTACTCTGTTCACTCTCTCCTTACGTTCTCTTTCTCTCTACCAATTCTCGCATAATATTACAGAAATTATCTCTTAATTTCTTCATTATGTTTGCACCAAAATCCCTCTTATCTTACCTCTTTTGTTTTCCCCAAAAGTATTCGCCTATTTCACCCAATTTCTCCAAGCCCTAGTTCCTACCCCTGTTCGAGAATTTTTGAATTCAATAAAGGAGATTCGGAAGATTTGATTACAGGAAAATAATTGGGGATTTGAAAAGATAATTTCACATTTGGGTTTTAAGGAAAAATAATAGTTTGGAGACCTTTGAGAATGAATCTCGTCGATCAGGACCGACCTTTGGAATAATTGTGAGTTCAGATGTACACCGGTGTTGGTGATTTCCAGCAGAGGTCGCCGATGGTGGCCGTTATCTGGACTTCAGCTTTTGGCTCTTCAAAGAATTAAATGAACGGAGGTGTTAACGGTGGAGTATTGATGATAGAAGGTATTGTTACAAACCTGGAGAAGTTAGCTTCCCATTAATGGTGGTGCTAGGCAGTTTTATTCGGCGGTGGTCGCCTAAATTTGGTGTGAATTTCAGCCTGCTCGCCGGAAAGGGAAATAAAATCTGCTACGCATCTGTTTTCGGAGCCAAAATCGAAGGGTTTGGAGTGTGAATTTGGGAATCATTCCTTCTCGAAAATCGTAGAGGACCTCGAAAACTGTGAGTAAGTGATTAATTATTTCCAATTCAAGCACGTTTTATAGCCTTTTAGGGGTCGGAATCAGACGACAGTGAATCTGTCAAAAAACAGGGCAGTTTTGCCTAATCATCATACGGAGCTGTTTTTGTTATGTTGGAGTAATAATTTAGGTTATGTGTCTTCTGATGATTTGTATATTGAGTTGTGAGGTTTTATTTGGTATATTATTTGGTCGATTTGGATAACTCTACAAATTGTTATGATTTTTCAAATAAACTGTGACAGCAAACAAGTTTGTCCAAAACAATTCTGGCAGTTTTATGTATTCAACTTTTCGGGCTTTTATTGTTGTGTTATCTTAGTAATTGGGGGTTGGTATCTTCATCACAATTGTAGATAAAGTTGTGAACTTTTATTTGGTATATTGTTTTCCCAATTTGGATAAGCGTACGGCCTGCTACGATTTTTGGAAGAAAATGTGACAACAAATAACGTTGGTTTCTAGTTTAATGTCCATAGTTAGCATCTATATGTGTCATTAGTTGTTTGAGTTATTAGTTATTGGAAATTTTTCTTATGTACATTGAGCAACAAGTTTAAAGTAATGTGATCGAAGGTGAAGCTTAAGAAACTAATGGATTCTTATTTCAGGTGTGTCATTCGTGGTTGTGTACCTAAGAAAATTTTGGTCTATGATGTTGCTTTTGGTGCTAACTCGAGGTGAGAAGACTTTGTTATTTGAGAAAGACTTTGTTAGTTATTTCTTCAATTTATATAACCAAATTTAACCCGACAGCTATGTTGGCGAAATTCTGAGAAATAGTAAACCTTCTGCCGCACCTGTTTTCGGAGCCGAAATCGAAGGGTTTGGAGTGAGATTTTCGAATCAGTCTCTTCACAAAAGTCGTCGAGGACCGTGATAATTATATGTAAGTGTTAAATTGCTTCTAATTCGAGCAAGTTTTATAGCCTTTTAGAGATGAGAATTTGACGGCAGTGAGTCTGCCAAAAACAGGGCAGTTTTGATGAATCATCTTCGTTGGGTTTTATTACCATCTTAGGATAATAATTTGGGATATATTTCTTAAGTAAACTTTTAGATGAAGTTGTCAGCTTTGATTTGGTATATTGTTTGGCCAATTTGGATAACTTTTCAAATACTTATGAATTTTACAATAAACTGTACCAGAAAAGAGAATTTATCCGAAATTCTGGCAGTTTTCTGTAATCATCTTTTGGGCCTGTTTTGCATATGCTGGGATCATAATTTGTGATCAGAGTCTTCAGTGAACATGTAGATGCAGTTGTTAGCTTTCATTTGGCATATTACGTTCCCAATTTGGATAATCGTACCAATTGTTATGATTTTTCAAAGAAATTGTGGAAACAAATGTTTTAAACCTTTGTTTCGAGAACTCGTCAAACAAACACGAGTCAACTCCGTACCATGTGAATTGATGCCTGGAGTGTGTTGTATTTGGTAAATAGAACGCCATAGAAATTGTGTATTATGTTCGATTGTCAGTTATGGCATAAGATTTAAGTTAGGATGTTTATATGAAATAGAACCGAATAGTAAACGATTATGTTAACATTCGATAACTTGTTTAATTCTAATATTTGATAGGTGTTGAGTATATTTATGCTCTCATTAAAGACTTGAGCATGACTCCAAAGTAAGGTGTTTTTATAGCACTTGCATTGGACTTCAGGTGAGAATCTCTATTTCTTCACTATTATTTATTAAATTTTGAGCGCAGATACATTATTGAATTTTGAGTGCTACTAAGTGACAAATGATTGGAATTGATTCTATCATATGATTTCTTATTTTCTAATTGATTTTTTTCCAGTTGGACTGTTTGATGAAGTGAAAGAACGTTATCGTGGAAGTCATATTTGTTGTCGCTTAACAATTTATGAAGTGGAATTTATTATGAAATAAGTATAGTAATCTTTCTTATTATTTTAAATGATTGATTTATTATTGTATGTAGTATGATAGATTGAAATTATAATATTCACATTTGATTGATAATGTGTAAATTTGCAAGCTTTAGTTTTATTTTAAATTTTTTTTTACAGCCACTGTTGCAAATAAACATTAATGATTAATGCAACCAATTAATTATTGGTCTGAATTGGTGAGTAAATTTAATAATTGCCGCAATCGTGTAAAAACTATTGCAACCAATAATATGGTCACTATATGAATATATTTTAGCAACCAACAGATATATTATTTATCAACCAATATATACCGTCACTATATGTATATTATGTAGCAACCAAAAAATGTGGTGGCCAAATATATATCCTATAGCAACAATAAAATATGGTCACTATACGTATATATCATTTAGCGACCAAAATTATATGGCTACTATATATGTTGCTATAGCAACCATGTTAATATTATTGCCACCATAAAATTTACATTAGCGAGTCAATAACTAGTCGTTAATAATTATATTTTTAGTGACCACTATTAGTTCGCCACTAAATCTCATCTTTTAGCGTCCAATTAATTTTCTTGTCACTGAGTACTTTTAGTAACTACCCTGTTGTGACCACCGGTGACCAAGCTTAATTTGGTCGCAATAAGTTTTAGCTACCATTTTCTAACTTTTAGCGACCATACAAAATCGTCACTAAAACCAAAATTTCTTGTAGTGAGTGGTTATCTCATTCCAAATTACTCCGCACATGCCTAATTCATCTTCTTCATATTTTTTTGGGAAGAAATTTGGGATGCACTGGCGGTTCCACGAAGAATAAATTGAGGGGAGCAAATTATGGATTTTAGAAAAAAATTAAATCGTAGTTAGGCCCTAGAATTTAAGATAAAAACTTTATTTGAAGTTTGTAATTTTAATATTATGATACTAGATTTTAATATAGTATTATTATTGTGTTCTACGTTAATTGTGTTGATTAGGAAAAAAAAAATGTCGCAAGAAAAAAGTTCATAAAAAATCAAGAAAACTAAAAAAAGTCAACATTGTTAACCTAGAATATAATGTCGGTGAACGGCGTCAAGATTATATTAAATAAAAAAGTCAATGCCGAAAAAAAAAGTAAAAAAAAAAAAAAAAAAACGTCGGTCAACGGTCAGCGGAACTGCTGGTAAAAAACGGGGTCGTTTGTCAAAATTGAATAAATGATGAAATTGAGGTTAAATTATGGTTGAATAAAATTTTAGGGGTTTTTAGAATATTTTAAAAGAATGTAGGGATCTGAGTGCAATTTGTATCCATGAAAAATCCCAAATTCAGCCATAATTCAACAGTTGACCGTTACTTCTTGACGGTCAAACAGACGGAGGGACCAAATGTGTTAAAATGTGACAACATTAGTGTGTATTTTGTTGACGGCGGTAAATGGAGGACCAAAAGTGAAAAACGTGCAAACTTGGGGGACCAAAACTGTAATTATCCCCACAAACATCCAATATCACTTTCGTCTCTCTATCACGAATAAGAGTTGTTTGGACAATACTTGGAGGAAAATGTATACTGAATATAATATATATATATATATATATATATATATATATATTGACGTGTTTTCTTTATGTTCTGTGATATATATATATATATATATATATATAGTATATATATATATATATATAGTATATATATATATATATATGCTATATATATATATATATATATAT